CCGTCTGCGCAAGGGCCTCCAAGCCGTGCAAGGCGGCTGTCACGACAGAGTCGTGCTGTGTCGCTACGCTGGCCTAGCAGCGGACCGCTCACCAGATGTATCCATAGCGCTGCGTGTTGGTTTGCAGGTGGCTGTTTCTTGTCTGCTCTAGACTTCGTATTGCTGGTTGCTCGTCACCTATCAGAACTGTCGATGCAAAGCTTTGTTCCGGTGCTAAAATACGCGCGCTAATATCCCCGCACCGCGACAGGCTTGTACGCTTGTTAACTGGAGTAGACCCGTTATTTATCCGTGGGCTCCCCAGATGGGTTGCCCTGCTGCTCCAGGAAATTTTTGGGTCTCTCCACTCGTTTTCTCCACGCTGAGGGCTGGGGTGAGCACGAAGTGTCTGAGTTACACGGCATCTGCGCGTTCCACTGATATGAGCCGTCTGACCACCCCGTTAGATCTCGCTACCATGAATGTCGGACATGCCTCTACTCTTTAGGACCTCCACTTCGTGTCCAATGGCGCTGTTCATCCTGCCACTCTTCCTTCCCGCCCCATGGGGAGCTGTGGGAGCGGTATTGAATTACGTCGCGGTAGTGATAGCCCGAGAACACCGCACTCATTTAACCCCAGATACGGAACTCTGCCGGTGCAGGCGGGCGGAATGCAGAGTTGAGCCTGGTGTCTTCCTCTACGAGCTAGCCGTGGCGTGATACTAATAAGTCTTGAAAACGTCCGCTGACGCGGAGCCGCCGCATGTGCGCAGATGGCCGCTACTACCACCGCTAGTACTTGACACGTGAAGAACCGTACGAGGTAAATGGGATAGGTACCGTGGTTTATCTGATGGATGACTGATCTTGGATCCTTGCGCGTGTTTAGATGCAGCGCTGGGGGATGTGGCCGAGGTAAGGGAAGGTGGGTGCGTTGCTTGGGACTGCGTGATGATGCTGCTGTTAGACCTGGAGCCAGGACCTTGGGAATTGACAGGCGCGCTCGACGTCTCCGACGCAGCGGCACAGTTTGGCGGGTATGCTGCGTGGCCTCCACGTTCCGGCTTGGTTACTGGCATCTGTCGGACTGGGTCGCTTGAAGACAACTTATTCTACATGACTTAAGCTATCGTCGTGCAGTGTAGTACTTGAAGTCGCTTCAGCACATGGTGCGCGTAACAACGCGATTGCTATGGGCGTGCCCCTCCGCGCCTGGGTATCTCGATGCCACGCAAAGAGTACTGCTGAACATGCCAGTACACGATCTCTTGAATGAGCCTGCAAAGAACAAGAGCCCGGTACAAAGATGGATCAGCGCATACGGCCCAATACATTGGGTCGTACCAGCCGTATTCCATAGCCGTTCTTCCAATGTTTATGATGCACATGACCCGTTCCGAGGTTGCCTTCGTAGTGATTCGGCACCAGTGTCACAAGCGCATATGCTGAATCAGTAGCTCGAAAAACGAATTACCACCCGCTGTTACGAGTGCAACTGTACCACGCATCACCACGATATTCATTTTCCATCTTTCCTTGCCTCCATAGAAGGCAGATAGCGGGCAAAGGTGCGTAATCCGGCTCTCGGCACACCCAGGGTTCGCAGATCAGAAGTCAATCCGGCCAACATTGCACACTCATACATGGCGTATGTACCCGAGCCAATCCAAGCCGGCGGGCGCCGTGCTTTTACGACCGGGAGTATGCAAGGCGCCTGAGATGTGACGGGTTTGCGCACAGCGGAAGGTTGGTGGCGTCGATATCACGGCTCGAAGAGGTAGAGCATCCTGCGCGCAGCTGCCCAGGTGGTGGAAATAACTTAAGCGAAATATACACGGCCCTCAATACTTCGAGGCGACTCTATGCGGATGCTGAAATATGGATTGGAATGAGATGTGTCCGGAAAGACCTCGACGATGAGGAGAAGACGGCGGGATGACGCTCGAGTAAGCTTTCGCACATGCAGATGCGACGCATACACAAGGCGGACCTGAGTACTCGCGAGCGCCTCACAAAGGACTTGAGTAGTTGCTTCTCATAACCTCATGCAGCTACTTTGAAACCCAGTCTAAGGTTTTGAGCTGCAGCACGGAACCATTAAGGCGCAATAGCTACACACGCAAAAGGAAGCTCACACTGTTGCTACAGTAATTTCGATAGAACTCAATAAAGCGCCATCGCTGAACCCAAGACTCAAGGCACGATACCTCTCGCCCACAATCCGCCTCTCATCTCGCAAACCATCTTTCCCTCACGAACAAGTCCCATCACCCAATTCTCTGCGCACATCCCCAAAGATAAGCTCTCATGGGTTGGAGGAGCCGGACAGCAGCTATGATGCCAAGCACATTTCGCGCTCCCATCGTCCGTGTGCTAGTGCTAGGCAGCATTCTACGCCTAAATCAGTTGCTTAGGCCTCTTCCCATCCTCGTCCTTCGAGTCCATGCGTCCGCCATGTTCCACCAGCAGTTTCATGGCATCGGCTTTACCAGTCGAGGCAGCAAAGTGCATCGGTGTCCAGCCCTTCCAGCCCGGAACGACCTCCTCCACATCCGCGCCATGCTTTATCAGCAGGCGCATAGTGTCGAGTTCACCGAATCGCGCTGCAGTATGCAACGCAGCAGTACCCGCTATAGGCGTACCGCGTTCCAGCAGCATCGCAGTCGTGCGCGGACCCTCATTCATGGCAGCAAAAGACATCAGAGACGAGCGGAAGTTTCCGAGTTTCTTGTAGCCCGGCGCGACGGGATGTAATGGATCTGCCCCAAGCTCGAGCAGCGCAGCAACTACATCTGGTTTCCCTCGCCTCACGGCCTCGTAGAGTGGCCGCTCGTGGCCGTGGCCGATACGGATGTCGATGACCTTCGGGTAGGCGGCGCCTAGTGCCTCGACGACAGCGGCATGCCCACCGTCGATGACCTTGTTGACGACGTCTCTCGTTACGATATCGGAAAGGGAAATATCAAGCTCTGTTGCGAAAGCAAGTAGTGCGGTCACAACAGCAGCGTGGCCATTCTGAGCCGCTACCATCAAGGTCCGCTCAAGATTCGGGATTGGTCTTGCCATGACTTTCCCACGTGGATCTTTACTATAGATGGTGTGTGGTTTACTGAGCATCGTCGTGATGTGTTGTGGCTGTGATAGCAGACTCCATAAGGCCGCGTCGTCGCCAGACGAGCATGTTTCGATGAGACGGCGAGCGTCGTCTTGCCCTACGAGTACATCGCCTACATCTCTGGACGAAATATGATTTTGTAAAGTACACAAGGGGTATTGAAGCTTGTAGACTTCCAGACAAATCAAATTCACAAGAAAACAGGCCCTCCGCCTACCTGCGGCAACAAATGCTTAGCGATAGTCTTAGACCTTTTAGCCTAGGTAGAGCTATAAATAAAAAAATTCTTAAATTATTAGAAAGTACCTCTATAATAGTACTATAAAACTCTATAAGCTCTTTTAAGTATAAAGAAATAACTAAAGTTATAAAGTATAGTTATAGTAGTAAATAGTAGAGGCCTTAGGCGCATAAAATCTAGCTCTAATTCTTCTCTTCTTTCTCTCTTACACTACATTGCCTAGAATACTAAGTAAGTACTACTATTAGTTATTACTATTACTCTTACTAACTTAAAAGCTTTAAAAATATCTTCTATATTTAACTACTATACTCTAGTAGTTCTACTTACTTCTATAGAGCCTAAAAACCTTATATCTATAATACTATAATAAACTAGTATTAATACCTCTACGCTATAAATTTTTAAGATAATCTAGACTTTGCGTAGCTCTCTTAGACTTAAGCCTAATATTAGAGTAGCTATCTTTATACTTATAAGCTTTAGCTATAAGTAGAAGATTTATAATATTAATAGTAAAGCTATATAAGTACTAATAGAATAAGAAGTTTATTTAGTTATAAAAGTAGAATAGTAGGTTTTTCTAGATACTATAAAAGTTAATAGACTTAACTTTATAATAGTAACATACTACTTAGAATACTAAATGCAAAGTATAGAAGACCTAATATTAAAGATTAACTTTAATATTATTATAAATAAGAATAAAGCAGCGTTTATAAAGTTATTATTAGATACTAAGAATATTATATAAGTTAGCTTAGTGTTAAAGTACTTTAGCGTCTAAGGATACTTTATAGCGTATAGCGTATAGAAGAATTACTACTAAAATAAGTATAAATGTTAAATTTAATAAAATTAGAATAAGTTTAATTAACAAATCTAGTACTAAAGTACCGGCTAAAACGCGACCCTAGACGAAATATAGAGGCCTGGGAGGTCCTTGAGATTTGCCATGGTCGGTTCCGCCATATTTGAGTCGCGGTGGTATTGGCAATGGCGATGATGGTGAAAATGTTGGTCAAGACGGTGAAGACGACGTGTCCGCAGGTAAGCGAGGGCTTGCGTAGTTTTAATTCGTGTGAGAGCTATACAAAGCTTCAAGTATTGTGTATTTCGGCAGTCAAGATAAAGGTGCAGATGCGGCACAGTCGAACGAAATTTGGAAAGTTCTGACCTTTGTTAGGCAGCAGCAATAGTAGATCGGGTCTAGCGCCCTGGCGTAAACAAAGGTACCCGTGGACCTGGGTACCAAAGTAGTCTCCATGTGGACTTCGATGTACAGACATGTAAATTGGCTAGCTATAGCACTATTCTCTAGGAAGAAAACATTGTTGGCGACTTGTTGCCGCTGGTCTCGACATAGTCGGACGTTGAGCGCAAGGCTGAGTAGCGGTGTCTACTTCAACAATCCTTCAGCCCCAACACCTTGTAAAGAGAAAAGACTGAACACCCTAGAGCCTACGTTGACGTTAGGCCACCTGCTTTACACGTTTTCATGTAGACTTCAGGGTGTTCGGCATTTCCCTTGGAGGTGCTGCCAAAAGGGCAAGACTCGTTTTTCGCGCGCTACGAAATAGCCATTCTGCACGATAGGCACAAGAACGGGAAGATCAAGTGTATCACCCACATGCAAAAAGATGCGACGAAGCCATCGCAGGCCATGGCCACGGAAGACGCAGACGGGAAGCTGACGTGGGAGAATGGCTTCAAAGAAGGTGACTCGAACGCTTCTGGTACCTACGATGTATGCGCATCCCATGGTACAGAATGCGACGTACCCCAACCCAACAAAAAGTGCTCCAAGCCCAGATCAGAGCCAGAAGCTCCGGCTAGTACAAAGCCCTGCAAAGGCATGGCCCTCTCCATCGCCATGGTCACACACTACTCGGGCCACGGAACCTCCGTAAGCGTCAATCACGAGTGGAAGTTTTACACCACCAGCGTCGGCAAGGCCGTGGGTAGTTGCGGCGAGACTGACGTCAAGGAAATTGTTGCGGTTACCGAAGAGACGCCTCGTCCTGGTTCCGATAGCAAGGCGCCATTCCCTGGCGGTGTCTTCATGCTGGATATTGAGGGTGAGGCGTGCACGTATAAGTGCGATGGGAATAATCCAGGGAGATTGTTCTGCCCGCAGAGGGAGATTGGGTGTCGTGAGGATTCGAGTAAGAATATGGAGGTTGGGGCGATAAAGTGTGGGAGGGATCAGTTCTTTGCCCCGAGTGTGTTTTGCGATTTCTGAGATCTAGGCACGTCAACCTAGGAAAAAAACTAAACGTTTAGCAGCGTACATTAACATGGATGTAGCCTCTAGGCCTGTTCGATTATATTTATACACAAGGTGGAGGTAGCATAGAGACGAGTGTTGTATTGCAGTATGTTGTTGTGACTATGTCGACAGAGGATTGGGGTTTGGAGGCCCACAACTATCCAGAAGGTGCTGCTCTAGGATTGTATTATCTACAACAGGACGTGCAATTCGAAGAGACGCCGAGTTTGACAGTGGACGATGTAAAGTCATACATGATAGCTGCGAGGGCAGTGCCATCACTAAGCCAGTTATCTGTGAGTCGCAAATGGTGTGTAGCCGCGAGGCTTTTGAGCTTCACGTGACAGTCTTGAAGTGGGACTCGCATTCGTTCAAATCCGATGCGTTACCCAGCAATTACCAAGCCCTGAGCCAAGCTGTAGGATGCAACGCCACGCATCCTTAGGCTGCGATCCTTCATGCCGTCGCGGATAACTCGGGACTATCAAACGAGGTCCACGGATGATCTCTTCCACAACTCTTTGTCCGGCCAAACACGTTCTGTTTCAGAACGCATGTTCGAGCGGGGAACTCAATGGAGAGACACGAACTGGTGTGTGTATGCACCAAGCACCTGCAAAGTATGTTTGAGGGCAGTATGCCTGGGCATCAGAAATCAGGGCAGTGATCTGGGGTGAGAGGTGGTTGCGGAGTGTAGCGTCTGAGGTGAGATGCCTTGGTATCGGGATGACGGGTGATGATGTATCTCACACACCAAGACTTGTCATTGGCAAGTAAGTCCATTATTCCAACAAATGGCTTGGTTGCGTAAGGCCAACATGCAGGTTGTTCATAGTGCGGAGTCGTGGACTGCAGAAGCGATGCTGCTGCCACAAATTCCGTATCACCTCCAACAAAATCGAAGTGACGGCGTAATTGCTTGTGCGTCATCCTTATGCGAAAATAGATGGAAATGCCTTCCAGAAGAGCACGTCCGCGATTCCATGCCGCGGGCAAATATCGATATACTATACGTTCCTTGGCGCGGTTGAGTGCTTGGTATGGCGCTGTGGCACAGACGGAACAAATGAGCAGGCAACAATAGATTGAGCAACTTGCATCATGGCACCGCGAAACCGGGTTCTCGGTCTCGCAACGAATTTCCCTCATCAAGAGCGGCTCGACGCGCGGTGGTGAGCACCACAAGGCATGCCGGCCCTGCACGGATAAACACAGGCCGTCAGAGCGCCGGTCGTCGAGGAAAGGTTTGGGGAACTGGGGGAATAATCGGACGCTATCGGACCAACGATTGCTTGGCCTACCTTAATTTTCCACCGGTTCCGGACGACCCCTCAAATCGTGGGCTAGGGGCTGCCACTATACGGTACGACGCTCCGATGGCGCAGTTCTGGACTTGCGGCTCAGAGCACGTGGGCTTGCAGTCGCTCCAGTGCTCGCTTTCGGCAGGTGCTGCAGCATGTGAAGACGGCAAGTGGACACGTTGTGTGTGGAAGCTGATCTGAGAGGATTGATAATACGAGAAAACGGCCGATGGGGCGCTGCGACTCATCGTTGTGAGGGGTGCCTTTGGCGAGGACCAACCCAACACCGGGGATAGCAGCGGAAAGGAAATTATGCTTAAGTCTGCGCCAACCTTATCTGCAACCATGCAAATGTAAGCGAACGACAGATTACTGAGCACACAGATCGACGTTAATTCGTGCTCACAGTAATCTCGAATTGAACATGTCGGCCCGTGAAGAATTGCAACGGCTTTCCTTGCGACTCGTGCTTGAGTGATTGAAACGTAGCTGCCTGCAATCGCGACCCCATGATGTAAATATCCGGTATGTGGAGAAGCCAACGCTGGGCAGGCTTGACAAGTCGGATGACGCGGCTTCGACCGTGTGAGCTGATAAGACAAGCAGCGAGCGTTGTATGAACGTGGAGAAGGGCGGCCTTGGCCATCCATCGAAATAACAATCCTGTTTGCTACTTGGCAGGCTTGAGTGCGACTGAGCCAATGGTTCCACCCGGAGGTTTACCTTTCTCGGGCAGCTGAGACGCCATGTTCCATGGCATCTTGCACAAGTGCTCGTCCGCAGTCTATGGTCTTGGATGAGTTTTGACAAGAGAAGACGGTCTGGTGAACAAGGTACTGCGCTGCACACTTGGTAGGCAGCAGGATTTCGCGCGAAGTTGGATGCTGTCATGGCGCAACACTGCCACGATGACGGTCAAGGGGCGGGAAGTCTCATGGCTTCGATGCTCAGCTCTTCTGTTCTGGAAGCGGAGAAGCGACGGCCCTGTGATACCGCCAGTGTGGGTAAGTCGGATCCTCGTGGCACGGTGGTAAGCTTAAACGCAGACACCAAGCTTAATCAAAGTGCTGGCCGAGCCTTTAAGCGAATGAGCTGAGAAGTTGCAAGCGCCGGATTACGTTGGTGTGGATCGGAGCGGATGTCTGATCCAGAGCGGAGGGCAGAAGAGGCTTGGTTGGCGGGCGAAGTTTCCACGTATGCCACAAGTTTGCGGGCGGCCGTTCACTTGCGTGAAGCAGGCAAGGGCAGACGGCACAGAAACTCTGCACTTAGCCGGAGCTGTGAGGAATCCTTCGAGACTAGGCAAGCTCCTTTGTCGCGCAGGTCAGTTGTTTGTCCGCTTCCAAGGGCGCCGAGAGCACGACAGGTGGAGATTTCTTAGAGGACCGAGGCCAAGCATGCCATGGCCTGCCACAATCTGAAGGCGACGCGAGCGTGGGTTGGTTTTGGGACGACACGGACTTTTGGAACGCCTTGGCTGTGCTTGGTGTATTGGTGCTAGCGGGGGCCAAGCAGGACAAGACGGATTGACGGACTGATGGACCACACCGCGAAGTCTTGGGAGGTGTCAGCGCCGGGGTCCGAGTGGGGCTGCCAAGGGATCGAAGGCTTGTCGAAAATAAAGATTCGTTTAGAGTTATCCGGCTCGCAAAGCTTGGCTGATCGAGCCAACGCCGCCAGACGCTGGGTGGTGCTGGGCATGCCGTGGCTTCGGCGTGTGCGAGCCGCTGCGAGGGCCACTCGCTGCAAACAATTTTGGTGTCGTTTGGGGACGCTGGCTGGTGGCACCGGGCGGCATGGCAGATATTGGGGGCTGTGTGTGTGGGTAGACGCTGCTGGGGCTCCGCTGGAACGGAGGGCCAGTGAGCAGCTAGCTGGGGTCCAAATAAAGCTTGTCGTGCGCCTTATTTCGCTATCAGACGCCACTCCACGTCTCGGCGGGCGATCAAGACGACGACCCCAGCGCCCAGAAAGGGCCAGAGACGCCAAAGGAGCATTGCTGGGTCCCAAGCCCGCCTGCCTGCAAGTACATGAGGGCGGATGACTGCTGCTGGCTTTCCCAAAGTTTTGCCCTCGGACCCGTCTTCCCCAACTTCCAACTTCCGTCACTTAACGCTGCCTATACCAAGTGGACCACTGCCGCGCACGCCTATCAGACGCTGACTCCGTTTCATTGCCGGCCCGTTTCACGTCACCGGACCTCGACACATTTGACCTCATCGCACTGCCCCATATAGGCGTTGCGACGGCTTTGCAGACACGCTCAGTCACAGTCACACACCCTATTGTAAGTCTCTATCTATGTTTCGTGTCTCCATGCCGCTTTGCATGCCCCCCCTCTGGTCTGCTGTTCCTTGGTTCGCCCTGTTCCAACATTCATGCGCACCGCGTTTTCCGAGTTTGCCGGAAACCCTGCATACCAAGATTATTGCGACTGTTGCATTGCCTTGAACCGGAGCACTCGTTCCACGGCTTGGACTAACAGACCCAAACAGCATCTATGAGGTCTTGACACCTCCACACTATCTTCCACACATTTCTCCACACGCGTCTTCACAATGGAGACGTACCACGGACACGTTCGCACGCCAAACGATGCCATCATTCTGTTCGAGGCCTGCCGCATCGGCATACTACCGCGGGTGCAGCGCCGCCTATCCGAGAAGGAGCGCCAGCAGATCAAGTCAGGCTCAGTATTTGTATGGGATGAGCGCGAGGCCGGCATGAGGCGGTGGACCGACGGAAAATCATGGAGTGCGAGTCGCGTATCAGGCAGCTTCCTCACATACCGAGAAATGGAGGGCAAGCGGGGAGGTAGCGCAGTACCCACAGCGCCAGTAGCGAAGAGGGCGAGCGGAAAGTCGCCAGACGGCACAGGCTCAGGTGAATCGGACGGCGAGGGACCAGACGGCTACCGGTACAAGCCGGATGGTCTTATGAAGCAGTCCTTCAGCATCACCACCCAGAGCGGACAGCACCTCCACCTCATCAGCTACTACTCGCGATCGAATTCCAACAACCTCCCACAGCCGACCAACGACGCGCAACTGCGGCACATCCGCCCGCCAAAGAACATGTACCCCGAGTCGGCAGTGAACGAGACCCAGACTGTGCCTGCCGTCACTCGCGGGCCCATGCCTGGCTCACCATACAGCGCACCCGGACACAGCATGGCACCTTCCTCGCCGTATACCCGTGGTGGCCCCGTCGCACCCATGTACGCGATACCCATGTACCCTCCCACACCACCAAACGGCACACCTCCAATGTACTACTCGCACCAGCCTTACTTCTACCCCGGCGTCGTCTACGCGCAGCCTCCATACCATCCACAACACGTTTTCGACCGCCCGCCAATGGCCCACCCTCACGCTCCTCAAGGGCACCACCCCATGCTGATGCAACATCCCGCCTACGCCGCGCATGCCGCACATGCTGCTCAACAATACATGGCAACACCGTCACTTCGCACACCATCGACAGCTGAGCAAGCTCATCAGCAGCACCTTCAACGTGCCAGTGCCCCTGCGCCTCCTCCAGCACCAACAACATCAATTCCCGAGCAAGGTCCGCAACTTCCAGCGATC